TCCGGAAAGTGGAACGGGGTGACCACAAACTACTTATAGTTTCTCCGGGGACCTGAGAGCCGTTGGCTTTGTAGACTTAGCTGCCCTCCTATGAGATCTGGTTGTGCGTTATGTCACAGTATGACGCTGAGCGCTGTCACCGTAAGACCCAACTTCTCTGCCGCCGTACGGGAAGGAGCTCCAGCTGAGTAAACACTGCGGGACAACCGACAAGCGACCAGAACCTTCCTTTCTCACACAAGCCACAATATTCCCTAGCTGCAAGGATCAGAAGTTGCTCCAAATTACATCGTAAATGTAAGCCAGTCCCATTATTTAATACTTGAGGTTTGGCCTTTTTCTTAAGGGGAAAAAACAGTTCAAGGATGGTACAGCGATCATTAAGGTTTAATGACTGACTGGCAGTGACGTTGCGAGCGGCAGTGACGTTTCAAGCTGCGGTTAGGGAATTAGCACAGTGCTGGTGCGGAACGTGTGTTTGGCGCTGCAGACCCCTGCGCTGGGTTCTAGGCTGGTCACTTCATTTCCCCTGCCTTTGTTTTTCTTCTCTCTGTGAAGTAGCACAAATACTATGCCCTGCTGGCCAATACCAGCACAAATTATCCCAAGGAGATGGATGGAAAGGGCCAGCAGGAAGCTGGTCCACAGAACGCTACAGATACAGCAACTGCCTATGCATGCAAATCAAAAGGCTGCATAATTAACAGTGTCATTAAAGCATTATAGCTTTCACCTTCACTCCAGCTGCACCAGGGACTAGTTGACCCTGCTATCTCTCAAAAAATATCCCTAGCATTGGATGTAACATAATGTTCACATTCTGACCATCCAGAAGACAAACGATGATGTCGAACCATCGGAAAAAGGAGACATGAAGAATACCTGCTTTGGTGCGTCAGACTGAAGACCACGTCCACCACCCTGCTACTAACAGTCAATAAAGTTGGACTGCTGCTTTCACTTTCATATACGGAGAAGTTTCATGCATCATTTTGACCGTAATGAATCCCATAAGTCCAATGATTTTGCACATATTACAGTCTCTTGGGTAGGGCAGAGCTGTATAAATACCCAGAAGCCTGAGGAAAACAGAAAAAAATTATTAAGATGAACATTCCTAATGTCCACTACTAACTAGTGGAGTATCAGTTGTCTTAAAAAAAGACATATTTCATGCCACAAAAAGTGGGTGGGATGTCTATTATGATTTGTCAGTAATTTGGACCAATACGGGACTTCTGATGTGCATGATTAATGTTCCACCTGCCTGCTTCTGTTTAATTTTCAGTCAATAATCAGTGTGAGAGGACAAAACTTTGGGGACTGGGGACATTGAGTTGTTCGTTTTAATCACCAGCGAGCGCTCTCTGCAGTCAAAATACATGCTCTGTGTCATGGGAAACACGTGGGCGTTTATATTTTGGTTTTCCAATATTTAATCACAGAATATGTTTTGTTGGAATTGGAATGCTCAGCATGGTTTATATGCATGAGCAAAACAGCGTTGGACTCTACTATAAATTCGAGCCAAGCTGACGAGAAACTGTTTTGGTGTTTCTCATAGTAACCAAAGCGTAGTCCAACATAAATGGTTATGCATAAAGAGTTAAACAGAAAAACATACAACTATACTTAACTAATACTTAACATAATAAGTTCTACTTATACAAATATGCATAAAACACCTATATGATGATGAGGACAGCATGTGGCTCAGTGGACTAAGCCTCTGTGCTCGTGGTCAGAAAGACCAGCCTCAGTACATCTGCAGGTCCTTGGGCAAGGCCCTTAACCCCCAGCTCCCTGGGCACCATAACAGGTGGCTGCCCTTCACGGCCAGCTTGCTCTCACCTACAGGGAGCAAAATGGGAGGAAAAATGAGACATGTGACTATTCACATGGACAAAACACAGTCAATCGACACTTGAGACAATCCCATAAAAATGTAGGGGTTTCTCTGTTTCCATAGCTACCTTCAAAAGTGAAAATAGCTGTAAGAATTCAGGCTATACTTCTTTTTCACTGGTAACAAAGTAGGACAACTACCAACATTTTAGCCAACAATGTCCAGATTGTAAAGATCATAACTCTAACTATGACCCTCTACCAACAGCCTGATTATTTTGCCCAATGAAATGTTCTTCTTTTATCAGCTTACTAAACATTTTTTATGACTCATTGTTATTTTCATATGATTCACTCTAGGAACCTCTAACCAGAGTAGAAACCATTCACACAATCTCTGATATTCACCCATTCATTTTCCAAAGCCGATTAACGAGTTCAGAAACATGGTTAGCCAGGAAGGGTACAAGGCAAGAAACACCCAGAATGGGATTCCACCAACCCTAACACAGTCGATACACACACACACACACACACACATATCTCTCTCTCTCTCTCACACACACACAGAGTCCATGTATTCATATCTATATGGGGCAAAACCTAAACCCAACCATGACAACCTTAACTCCTACCTAGCCTTAAGCTTAACCATAAGTAACCAAACAACATACATTTTTAATATTTTGCTTGCAGTCACAAATTTTTATAACATTGAGTTTCCCCTTGTGGGGGCCGAAACAAGGTCCCCACAACATCAAAATAACAGGTTTTTATCACATTACGGGGAGAATGTAATATATATATATTACCATGCACACACACTATGGGAAATTCAGATGTCCATGTTTTTGGATCAATGCAAGGGACCAGAGTACCTGGATGAAGATGAGAACATGCACACCTCACACTCGTGCAGAGCCTGGAGCAGAAGTCACACTCCCAACCCTGTGGGTGGGCAGCTCCAGCTCTACTTACTGAACCACCATGTCTCTGCTGACCCACAACATCCACTGAACTGAACCCAGTCACTCTGAGGAAACACATCAATGACTAAACAGACCCTGCTGTTTGAAAGCAGAACCAGTCTGAATAAAAACAAAACCTGTGACCTGGTGTGGAATAAGCGGTTGGAATATTTCAATAGATGGAAAAAACCAAGAACCTTTAAGTCCTACATCTCAGACTCCTTCAGCTTTCTGAAAGCCCTCAGCAAACACTCTACAGACTTAAGTTTCTGTTACCCTTCCTAATTTGGCTCCTGCTTGAAAATCTAAGAGTACCACGACACAAGCATGTCTTCATCAAGTGATGCCAAAAAGCTCAGCACAGCAATATATTTTTATATGGTAAATACCTCTGAGTTTTGACGTGGTTTGGTGAAATAAAGCTGCTCTTTGCTTGCCGGCTGGCGAACACCCAGAGGAATGGTCCACTGTCCCATCAAACAGACCAATGTGCAACCTGATGTGGTCAACGGACCTTCAAGAGAAATCAACTGGGCTGAAAGACCTTACTGGACATTTCCAACCAAAGTGCACTTTCTTGCTAAAAAAATGACAAACAAAAAAGTATTTGACCTTTCTGGGTATTACACTGTGTTTGTAACATAATGGAGAGTGTGGGTGCTCTGAGGGGGGGCGGAGGCTGGAGCAAGCCCTTTGACTCCTTTGAAATTGAACAGGAATGGGGTGAAATAAGTCTGTTCTGTGTATCTGAGAGACTGGGGGTGATGGTGCAGCATTCCTGACTGCTGATTTTGAAATCGCATCGTATTTAGGCTAGAGGGTTGAAGTGTTTTACATTTACATATGTTAGTTATAGTTCATGCCTCCATCCTCTACTGGATAATTGGTTAGAAAAGAGGTGGATGGACTTTAAATGATATCGTGCCTGATCCATTATTACTGAAAGTTTGGTTTGTACTGACTTGGACACTTTAATCACCTGGATTTTGTACCGAGTGTATGAAATGGGTAGAAAAAAGTTTAATTGAGAAAAAACACTCAATTAAAATATGGTTTTAACAATTTTAATTTCTAATAGTTTAATACTTTGTCAGGCAGCACAGAATCTATAACAGGTGCCACGGGTGCTAAGCAGGATATGAAGCGATTTTAAATGCATGGTGTAGTCAACTGAATTAGCACAGTGTATCAGGCTGATTATGTATTATGTATGTGGTTGTATGTCCATTGTCTTAGTATTTTTGAGAGACTTGTATTTTGTAGTTATATGCTTCATTGTCTTTAGCGTACTTGTAACTAGCCGCCACTCTTGGCCAGGACTCCCTGGAAGAAGAGTTATTGTAACTCAATGGGACCTTCCTGGTTAAATAAATGTTAAATTAAATAAATAAAAATAGAGGTAGAATTGTCTGAATTTGGAGAGTTATGTTGAGGGTTTAACTGAGATTCGGGCTGAGTCAGCAATGAATGCAGCCTGCCGGTTTGACTGAGCCACTCGCATTGACTGAGGCGCTCATCTTGACTGCGCTCACCTTGATTGAGGCGCTCACCTTGACTGAAGGGTTCGCCTTGACTGAAGGGTTCGCCTTGACTGAGCCACTCGCCTTGACTGAAGGGTTTGCCTTGACTGAAGGGTTTGCCTTGACTGAGGCGCACGCCTTGACTGAAGGGTTTGCCTTGACTGAGCCGCTCGCCTTGACTGAAGGGTTCGCCTTGACTGAGCCGCTCGCCTTGACTGAAGGGTTCGCCTTGACTGAGCCGCTCGCCTTGACTGAGCCGCTCGCCTTGACTGAGGCGCTCGTCTTCACTGAAGGGTTCGCCTTGACTGAGCCGCTCACCTTGACTGAGCCATTTAGAACTGGCATTAATAATATTACTTTATAAAATACTTGCATCTATATGTAGTGAAAAGTTTGTAGTTACACTCATCCCTAATGACCACTGTCATCCTTGGTCTGTATGATGTGATAGGTTATTATCTAGTAGTATTATCCAATATCCCAATATGTAATCATAAGTAACAAATCCATCGTCAATTAAAGAATATAAGAAAGCGTTGAAATACACAATTTTCAATGTGTTCGGGGATTTTCCAAAGACGTTTTTACAACATTTGAAAACTGCAGTGTTTCCATCACAACAGTAGGGGGTGCAATTGAACCCCAAGCGCCCCTTGCACCCCTTCAGCAGCGGAACAAAAGCATTCAGCTGCGTCCCCACATCAGTACCGCAGCCGCTCTTATTCTTTATTATACAAGGACAAGATGGCTTTTGTTAAACGCTTGGAGTTATGGCTTGGGCTGTGGGGACGCTTTCTGTAAGGAGGCAGTTGTGAATTGTGCGTCTCTTTCCAACAGTGCCTCTGGATGTATTGATGGCAAGTGTTTGGGCAAGTGATGCAGCAGCGCGACTGACTTTTATGTTTTGAGCAAGGACGCTTGTGCATTTTATTTTATTTTCATTTTGTTTTCCGCTATCCGAATATACTTTACTTTGGCATAATTTGTCGAAACTTTAATTGAAACGAAATCTCAAGAGACATGGGAAGTGATAAAGAAAATACACCTGAAATGTTATCCTGCATCTTCAGAGCGAGTCATGCCATCATTTTGCTTGTACTTATCGGTGAGTAACATCTACTCATAACAGTGAGTTTATGCACTTTTAAATACTTTATCATAAAAAAACACCAACAAATCACATCCTCGGTGCAAAGAAGAAAATCAGGAATTGCATGAAAATAGATATAAAATGACTGCGGTTGTTATTCTGATGTAACGATCACTCTTAGTTAAATAAATATACGACCATTTATTATTTTCTTAAGCGGGATCCCACGCTTTTTCTGTACTTCCAGGGGACCTTAAAATCGCGCCCGCGAAGCCCTGGGACCCGGGGTATGCTTTACAAACTCGTAAAAACCTACTTTACAACTTTTACTTCAATTCGGCTTATATTCCTACAAATCAGTGACATCCCCATAAATGTGGAGACTGCTGATTAACTGTTTTAAAATGATAATGAATGATGGTGGCATGAAGTGATTGAGAAGGAAAAATAAGCCCCAGCACACGTCGCTTTTATTTCTGAAGCGGTAATATTTTCATTGTAAATAATGACATTATTAGTTTCTATTACTGTTTCGAGCAAGGGAAGGGCATGTCCAAACCAAATCTTTGCGCTAATCGCTTACATTTCCCCCGATAAACACAGCACAGCACAAATCTCATTCCTTGTTTCCTTTGGCCTAAGTAAAAAAAAAAAAAAAAGTGTTTTCCGAATAGTCTGTAGAACATCCCGAATAAGAAGGCAATAAAAATGAGGCAGCGGAGCAGATGGGGCGAGATGGGAAAGAGCGACTGACAAGCCGCAGCTGCCCGCCGTCAGCAGGGAGGAAGCTGCACTGGAGCCGCATCTTGGCTTTAACTTAAAATGAATTAGGGCTGATCTTTACTACACTTTCTATAGCATGTTTGAGGACCGTACCGTCCTCGATGCAGATTTCCCCAAACGGTAGTAAATCCTAAATTGTTAATTGGTTACTTTTTTGTGCTAAATTGGAATAAAATTACACCTCAAACCAAAGGTAACTACATCACGACGTTGTATTCTGCAATTATTTATGAATATGTCTTATTGATAAAAGGTTCATCTTGAGTCTTCTGAATAGATGGAAACATGGATATCAATGGGATTTTAGAGGGGGAAAAAATGCGTACAATTTATTTTACAAACTTCCCATTTACCAGAATAAAAAGCAAAAGTAGGTTGGAAAGCAAATGTTATCTTAAGATAGTTATGAAAATTGGTAGAATGGATTGTTACATTTAGCTGTGTTGGTGACTCAGACTTGAGCGTCTTTGGGGTTTGAGTCTGTTTTGAATCACGTCTGTCTGTGATCCCGGAACCAGAGTTACCTCACTATGGGGTACATGCCAAAGGTTAACGTTTGTAGTGGTTTAAAATCTTGAATTTCCATATGTCTCTTTTTGTGATTTACAGAGGGGGTGACGGGTGGGTTTTTTCTTTTTTTGGTGGAGACAGACTGTAAAGCTGGATTCAGTTTTGTGCTCAGCTGGTTAGCTTTGTGGCCAAAGGTATACGGAGTCGAGGATTTGGATTTGTGACCAAGATATTTGAAGGGTTTAAATTGCGGGTAGAGAACTCTGACCTTGACCAGACTCTAGATCTCTCTTTCAATGAGGTCCTGATTCAATCATGGAACCACAGGGGAGAGGATAAGAGCAGGACACCCTGCGTGTCTCAGGGGCTGGAGGTCTGGATTGCAAATGAAGAAGGTTTTGTCTCAAAATATATATAAATATTTACGTTTAAATTAAAACATTAACTTAAATAAAGGCCTCTCATCTATCCGAATATTACATACATTTATTCAATTAGCAGACACTTATATCCAAAATGATTTACAATGGAGAAGGCAGGGTCAACCTGTCTCTGGCTATGATATAATCACTTTGCCAATCCTGGGATTTGATCAGACAAACTTCTGGTCACAGTGCCTTAACTCGCTGGACCACACGCCACCCCCAAAGGAATAATAAGGCCCCCAGGAGTAAATCAGCCCCTTTGTAGCTGTGCACACATAGGGCACCAAAGACCATCTTCTTCTATGACCCTCAATATGATATTGCATCAATTTACATTACTTTTATATGACACTTTTATCCAAAGAGGCGTACATTAGAGGGAAAGGTTACAGGTTATGTGCGCTTGACCTTTGGCTTGTTAGCATGATAACTGAGAATGGTAACCAAACTTGGTCACCAAACTTTGAGCATAACCAGGTGCTTGATGGCTGGAATCTCCGTCACCATTCGGTACAATATGATTTCTCTGCGTGGTGATATTCAGATTGTTCTTGTCTTTTGGGGTTATTCGCACAGGTCTGGGCGAAGGCTCCCAGCACGGCGACAACAGCTCTCAGGCGGTTTCCATGGCGAGTCACATGGGGCAGCAATATAAGGAATCGCAGTGTCACCGCTTGCTCAGTGACCTCCGTAATGGGGCGCGGGTCATTGTGCATTTGCCTTCCAACATTGAGGGCCATTGGGTGTCTACAAGGTAAGCTTCCATTTTAGGTTGTGCACTTAGAGAAGATAGGAAGCACAATTGATCTGAAATAACAAGTGCAGAAAATACAGTATTTCGCAAAAGTGTTAGGCAGTCAAAGAAAGTAATGTTTAAATGATTTTCGTGTTGATGTCACATCTAATTTTATATCCATCAAAATGTCAGATCAGCCATTTCAAAACCACTTTAAAATAATCCCAGTATTTTCAACCACTGTCCAATAAAAGAGCAAGTTGAGGGAGGCGTAAAAACAATTTCCCCCACAGGGATTAATAAAGTGTTCATTAATACATCCATGTATTTTGTGACTTGACCAGTAGCACACCAGTAGCCAATCAACACCTCAGTGAATCCATCCATTTTCTGCTACTGCTTGTCCTGTTCAGGGTCACGGGGATTTGGGGACTATCCTTTAAGCTACAGGCACAAGGCAGGGAACAACCCAGAATTGGGTGCCAACTCATAACAGGGGACACACACACACCGTTTGCTAACACAGGCACACCTATGGACAATTTGGTAAGTCCAATAAACCTCAGCATGTTTTTGGACTGTGTGTGTGGGGGGTGGGGGCAGAGTACCTGAAGGAAACCACATGACGACAGAGAACATACACACTCCACACACATGGAGCCATGGTGGAGACTCAAACCCTGGTCCCACAGGCAACAGTGCTAACCACTGTGTCACCCCCCGAGTCCGAGTTATTTAACTAATTAAGTTAATTATTTAATGAGCTGGTGGTGAAAATTAACAAACACATGGAATGGCTGAGGTGCCCCTGAGGAGAGGTTTGTGAACTGAAGCTGTGTTCTAGCCATCCAATAAGATATCAGTACATTTTTGGGAGAACTGAAGAAATGGCTGTACTTCGATTAATTTGCATATGTTCTAATGTTGTGATGTATTTTAGAGCAAATATATGACTACTCCCTGGATAAATAGCCTTAAACATTTTTTTGGCTGCCTGATACGTATTCACAGTGCTTTATATAGTAACTAAGTAACACGAATATGTGTTTTGTTTTGTTTATCTTTTATAGCTGCCAAGTGTGGACAAGCTGTGTTAGATTCAGTTACACTTCTTAACTTCAGAGTAACTCAGAACCTATAGTGGTTTAAGAACAACAGCAAAAACCCTGAATAATGCTGATTTTGTTTGAGTTTTAGTTGTGTAAATTAATTGCCGTAAAAGGTGTTTGAAGGAAATTAAAGCTGTGAAACCAGGGAAAATGTATCTGGTTGTTTTCATAGCTGTGAAGTGAGACCAGGCCCAGAATTCATCACCAGATCCTACAAGTTCTACCGGAATGGTAGTTTCGAGGCCCGTCAGTTTTACTACAGAGACAATCACTGCACGTCCCCGGTTTACACGCTGGTGATCCGTGGCAAAATACAGCTGCGGCAGGCCTCCTGGATCATCCGTGGTGCCACCGAGGGCGAATACCTGATCCAGCACATCCAGGCTGTGTGCCACAGCCAGAGGACGGCAGACCAGCTCGGCCAACTCCTCAACTGCACCTGCCAGGGTCCGCAGAGGTCCTGGGAGCCCGGCTTGGGCTACGAGCTGTTGAGTGAGCAGACCGGCTGTGACTGCTCACTTGGTCTAAATCTCACCATGAATGAGCTGCAGCTCCTGCGCTTGGAGAAGGTGTACCTTCACCACGGCCATGTGGTGGAGCAGCTGTTCCTGGGAGACGTGCATACGGATCCCACCCAGAGGATGTATCACCGACCCTCTAGCTTCCAGGCAGCTCTTCAGAACGCTAAGGTCAGCAAGAAACATCTTGACGTTATGGGCAACCGTGATTAACCAGGCAGATGATCTGGTAACCTTCTTATTCTTAGGTCAGAGCTCATAAAATGCCTCGATATATCCATCCATCCATCCATCCATCCATCCATCCATCTGTCCGTCTTCCATAACTGCTTATCTATAGGGTTGAGGTGAGCCTGGAGCCCATCCCAGGAAGCACAAGGTACAAGGCCTTATATGAATGTAAAATCATAGTAGGTTAGGACAGAAGAAGTAACCTTTGCAACTTTCCCAGGATAGGCTTGTTAGGTGCCTGTTCTTATATCAAGAAGGTTGTAGATTCAAATCCCATGGCCTGTAATCATATCTCCATTGAGCCCTTGAGCAAGGTCCATAACCCAAGTTTACGTGACCCAATGCTTGTGGGATGAAGGCAGTTTTAAAATGCTAGTGAACTTTGGAGGAAGATCAGACACGTGGCTCTTGGGTATTTCACTTCCAACCAGATACTTGTTTAAAGGCACAGAGATGCTTTTGTCTGCTCCATAATTACAATATGCTCTTCGTTACTTTGATTTTGCCAAATTTAAGTGGCGGGACTGATGTGGAGTCAACGAATTCTAATTAAAATTAAACCACTATGAGCTGGTTGACTGACACTACACCAAATCTGCTACAGCATTTGAGTGAGTAGATCCGTGAGTAATTCATATAAATTTCATATAAATGTTGCCTTAGTGACCAGACCCCAGAATTACTGTGATGGTAACTTAAATGTCTCTTTCGGGAGCTGTAACAATGCTTAAAACATTTAATGAAGAAGATTAAGAAAACAGAAATTGTCATGGAACAGACTCTGCGGTCAAGATTCCGCTTGTATTGTTACAACTTAATGGAATTTATAGAGTTATTTTCACCATGGCGATCATTCTTTTATTAGTCCAATCGCAAATATCAAACTTTCATGTTAGATTTGTGAAACACTGTACATCAGACTTTTTAAGAAAGATGAGGGAAAGGTATTTTTAAATATTGAAACTAAGTTTTGTATTATGCAACACACTCTGGGTTAAATTGTGTGTCTAACTTGTTAGCTCAGAAAAAAACACTGAATCTACCAGCCTAGATTTTCATGTTAGCCTCATTAAACACTGTCCTGGTTTTCAGCCTAAACTACCTTTAAAGTAAATAAGCTATCTTTAATCAATAAATGTGTATTTGTGCTGGACTTCTGCTGTGAAGTTCCTGTATGTACGGTGGTTTTTTGTGAATAACGCTCATTGAATTCAGTTCAGTAGTGTGGAAGCGAGTGAGTTTGGATTGCAAATGGAGAGCTGATTACATCGCAGTGTTGGGATGCTCTTGTCACGACATGTGACATTCTGAGAGATGTGATTGGCTGTTTCTTTTCCAATGTTATGTTGTGCCATAGGCAGAAATTATACATTAGTCCAACAGTGTATAATAGCACAGCCACCTAAATTCTTATGTATGTTTATATCCCAATTGACCAATAATTAAACATGTTCATATTTATCATGCTAAATTATGATGCTCTAATTATCTTTCAAATGTCTTCAAATAAGGCCTCCTTTAATTTTATGAGCATAAATTGAATTTTTATGTATGAATTACAGAGTAATTACATGCTTTTAGCAGTAAGATTATGTTGCCTGATGCTTGAATGCTGTTTTGCAGAGAGACCTGCAGACTGTTGTCCATCTGACCTACCTTTTTCATTCCCTCATTTTCATTTTTTCGTCTAACTATTAATTTATCTGTTGTGCGATCAGCCCTGCTGGTGTATTTAAGTCGTACTGAGTTTTCCGTGCTATTTTCCATGTATGGTGTCGGACGTTTGGGAAATGCTGTGCGACGCTTTTAATACTCGCCACCAGAGACTTCAGGAAAATGAGGGACTGACAAAGATCAGCAGTTGAGACAAAATCAGTTTTTAAAAGGCTGCAGTTTGGTTGCAACCTGTGATCTTTAGTCCGAATTTCTGATTCGGGCCTTTTGACTTAGACTGTGATAGACTGACATCCTATCCTGGGTGGACCCCAGCCTTATGCCCGGTGCTGCCTGGGATGGGATAGGCTGTAAGCCCCCCCCCCCCCTCCCAAAGCAGGATAAGTGGTTGGAAGATGGATTTATGCCAAATATTTTCAAAGGAACCATTTCACCGCTGAATAGGCTAACAAAGCACTTAGCCTGTTTAGGAAACCCATTTGGCGGATTCTGCACTAGTACACATATCAGCTTATCAGAAACTGATTGGATGGCCTGCTCCCAGGGCTGTGCCTGTAAACCAATAGCAAGTTGTCTGTCTCTCTATCTCACCCAGAAGTGGAAAGGGTACATTGGGCTTTTCCAGTCAGATTTTTTTTCTTTATTTTTCTGATACAAGATCAATCATTTGTCGCATCTCATCTGTCATATCATTATTATTATTATCCTGAATTTTCCCTCTTTATTGTGTACACCATGTTTATTGTGTACACATGAGGCAATGTCTGAGGTGGGTAGTACCATGTTTGGATGGGGAGGGGGGGGGGGAGTAGTTGTGGACGAAAAGTAGTAGGATGAATATGCAGGGATCCCCCCCTTTTCCCTGTGGGTTGAGATTCCCGTCTTTATGTCGGCTGCAGAACCACGAGCAGGCCTGCGTGGCATGCCGCATCATTGCGCGGTCGGGGGAGTTGCGGCCGCCCGTGCTGCCGCCACGAGCCGACCTGGCGGTGGCGCTACAGGGCCAGTGGGCGAGCCTGCGCTGCGAGGTACGGCCGCAGGGCCTCTTCCTCAAACGCCATTTCATCTTCCATGACAACAACCACACCTGGGAGGGCTACTACTACCACTACATGGACCCTGGATGTGAGCAGCCCACCTTCAGCCTCTACGCCAGGGGACGCTATACCCATGGTTTGCAGTCGGAGAAGGTCATGGGGGGCACTGAGTTTGTCTTCAAAGGTACGCCCCCATTGAGTATTTTTAGTGGAACGATGGGAGCTCGTAGGCTTGCTCCCAAATGACGACAGCTGGGACTCATTTCTTCCTTAATCACCAAGCTATCAAACGAGCTGTAACAAGGACCTCGCAGGAGCCCAAAGCTGCATGCACAGAGAGGTTGTTTTCTTGGTTAAATTTTTAAGTTAATGTGTCGTTAGCGTGGACCTCAATCTAGGAGTGCGCTTGTCATTTACTAAAAAGTACTATAGCTAAAAAGTAAACAGCTAGCATGTACAGTCAAAAGATCTATACAGCTTTGTGGCTGTTAGCAGAACATGCTGCTTCAGCGTCTCCTAAATAAGGAACATGTTTATTTAATATTTAGTGAAGTGACTGTTTGTGGCCAATAGTTCAAAATATATTTAGCTACTAAGTAAGTAGCAAACTCATAGAGTTAAAAACTAAACAAATTGCTATCAAGAGAAGATCGTAGCTAGTTGACTGGTTACTAGAACATGCTGCTTCAGCATCTGCTAGATAAGGAACACATTTATTTAATTAGTGTAGTGACTGTTTCAGTGTGTGCCCCAGCTGTGCCATGTCTTTTGAATCACACTGTAGCGTGTCAGTGAACAATGTTTCTATCTACGCAGTGAACCACATGAGGGTGACACCCATGGAGCTGTTCACGGTGTCCCTCCTGAACATCTTTGATGGGAACGAGTGCGGCGAACAGGGCTCCTGGCAGCTGGGCGTGGAGCAGGACGTCACGGCGACAAACGGCTGCGTAGCGCTGGGCATCCGGCTGCCCCACACCGAGTACGAGCTCTTCCGCATGGAGCAGGATGCCCGCGGACGCTTCCTCCTCTACAACGGCCAGCGGCCCGGTGACGGTTCCAGCCCAGACACGCCCCAGAAAAGAGCCACCTCCTATCAGGAGCCCCTGGTCCGGTGTAGGGCCAGCAGCCCAGGGGGCCACAGAGAGGCTGGGGACCAGGTCCCAAGACACAGCGGGGGCAGTGGGCAGTGGCTTGGCCTGGCAAACGTGGCTGTGACCCTACTTGTCACCCTCCTCACCCTACAGCCATGTTGATCGAAGAGGACCAAACGTACACGAACATTTACACTTATATAGATGGATATGCTTCATACTCACATACGTTCAGGACAGGAAATCCAGGCAGCTACAGCTAGAACTATCCCCGAAGCAGGAAACTCATATGATCCCGTGGTTTATACACCTCCCAGTGACCGTGAGGAGAAACATACAGCAGGACGCAGGCTGAAAGGGAAAATGTGCTGGCATGTCGTTCGCATCCCACAATGCACCGGTTTCTTGTTCATTAGTTATTTGGGGGGGGGGTACTCATAGTTGTTTTCCCTGTTCTGACCTTAGAAAATTGAAAGAAATTAGTTGTTTAGAAACCCAAATCCCTACTCACAGTCCAGTATTTCTGTAGTATCTGTACTCCCCAGAATGGCTGTGAAGCAGGGCAATAGGCTCGGCCTGGACGACACGGCTAACCAAACCATGTCACTTAGGGGTCAGAGGAAGAAACAAAGACTGTACTTATGGTGGAGAATAAAGATGGGATTTAACACGGCTGGGGGTGGGGGGGGAGCAAAGACAAAAACGGGCGGCGTCAGGCACAGCACAGGGGCAAACACAACAGGCAAAAAACCTGGTCATGGTGTTGGGGGGGGGTTACAGTGCAGTGCAGGCAAAACAAAAACGTGGAAAAAAACATCGAGCTCCTAGACCTGCTAAATGTGCCCCTTCTCCACCAGAGACCAGAAACTCACTGCAAGAACAGCGATTCCCCAAAGAGAACATGGTCAGTTATAGACAATTTTATAACTAGTAAGCGAAAGCTTACCTATTTTGCATGATCAAATAATTTACTACAAGAACTTACACTGACTGGCCACTTTATTAGGTACGCCTTGCTAGTACTGGGTTGGACCTCCCTTTTGCCTTCAGAACTGCCTTCATTCTTCATGACATAGATTCAACAAGGTGCCTGAACATTCCTCAGAGACTTTGGTCCACGTTGACATGACAGCATCAAGCAGCTGCTGCAGATTTGTCGGCTGCACCTTGATGATGCAAATCTCCCATTCCACCACATCCCATAGGTGCTCTGCTGGATTGAGGTCTGATGACTGTGGAGGCTATTTGAGTACAGTGAGCTCACTGTCATGTTAAAGAAACCAGTCTGAGATGATATGAGCTTTGTGACATTGTGTGTTATCCTGCAGGAAGTAGCCATTAGAAGCTGGATACACTGTGGTCATAAAGGGATGGACATGGTCAGCAACCATACTCAGGTAGACGGTGGCATTTAAACGATGCTCAGTGGGCACTAAGGGGCCCAAAGTGTGCCAAGAAAATACCCCGCACACCATTACACCACCAGCAGCCTGAATTGTTGATACAAGGCAGGATGGATCTACACTGTCATTTTGCTTATACCAAATTCTAAACCTAATATTTGAATGTCACAGTAAAAATCAAGACTCGTTTGGCCAGGCAACGTTTTCCTAATCTTTCGTTGTCCAGTTCCGGTGAGCCAGTGCCCACTGCAGCCTCAGCTTCCCATCCGTAGCGGACCGGAGAAACGCCACTCACTGGATGTTGTTTCTTTTTCAGACAGTTCTTTGTAAACCCTAGAGATGGTTGTGCATGAAAAATCCCAGTAGATCAGCAGTTTCATAAGTTATCATTCCAGCATGTCTGACACCAACAACCATGCCATGTGCAAAGTGACTTAGATCACCTTTCTTCCCCAGTCTGGTGTTTGATGTGAACATTAACTGAAGGTCCTGACCTGTATCAGGATAGTGCTGCTGACATGATATATTAAATAGGTGAAATGATGATACTTTATTGACCCCTGTGGGGAAGTTATCGTGTGCCTACCCCATCTTGCTTGCCATAACTCACAGGCACATATGTAAGTGAGAGCAAGCTTGGCAGTGAAGGGCAACCACCCATAACTCACAGGCACATATGTAAGTGAGAGCAAGCTTGGCAGTGAAGGGCAACCACCCATAGCGATGCCCATGAAGCTGGAAGTTATGGGTCTTTGATCAAGGGCTCTCAGAGGTGACAGACCTGCTGTGGCTGGGGCTCGAACCAGCAAACTTCCAGTCACAGGCACAGACGCTCAGCCCCCTGAACCACACGCTGCCCCCAAATATTTGAAGCAGATACTACACATGTGCTTCAACAAGCAGCTGAACAGGTGTATCTAATAAAGTGGACAGTGAGTATAGATTCTTTGTACTCCTAAGCAGGGACACACTGTTTAAGCTTAGATAAAGCTCATGGGAGTTTCAACCATTCAGATTGTAGAAGATGTGAGTCCAAGCAAATAACAACCAATCAGATGTCTTGGTCCTGCCTCTTCTACTTGCTTGGACCCACATCCTCTACAATCTGATTGGTTATCTGTCTGAACCAATAATTTTGTTCTGCCCTCAGAACATTTTTGTGCAAGTAAAACTCCTATGAGCTTAGAGCGATGTTTTACAAGGGAACAAAATCCCTTTAAGGCACAAGCAGTGTAGCTGCTGTACTGCAAGTCTTTGCGAGCTGCCAAAACACTTTTTAGAGGGAGGGGCTGTTTTATTGGCAGGCTGCAGACATTCTTACAGCTGATAACGAGGCAGAGGGGGACAGCCTTGCCATAAACCAACAATGGAAAACATCTTGCAGTCGCATTTTCGATCTTCTTAAGGGGCAGTTGGTTGGTGCTGGCAGCCGCTTCTGGAAAGTTAACAGAGCAGTCTGGTTTGAAGCCTGAAAAGTACAGCCGTTAAAATCAGAGAGAACAGGGGAGAGATTAAAGTATTTACTGCCACTTTCAGAATACAAGCTAGCAGAAGTACAAGAGCGGCATTGAGTACAAGCAGTCTTTAGTGTCACCTCAAAACATCACGAGTCACCAAATTGGGGAATAGGTGACATCGGTTTTCACAGTAAAGACCATGTTTTCTGTATAAAAGGCACATTTCAAGCAAACAAGCAATACATGGCATTTTAGAACAGAATATCTTCATGATTAAAAGTACTTGCTTTAATTAGTCTGTTACGGCAAGGGAGAGAAGTGTTAGAAACCTTTAGGAGCAGCAGAAATTACATTTAGTGAGTTGCGTTTTGACCTCCAACCACTAGGTGGAGTGACCAGAGTGCAGGATCCTAGAGGACTTTTGGCCCCTCTATGATTATTATTAGTTTAAATGGAATCCTTCTTCACTCCTTCGGTTTCAATTTAAGCTTCCATATTAACTTTACTACATTCTTTATTGGAAAAAGAAAAAATACATGCATAATAAAGACAAACAAGGTTGTTATAAAATAATGTTAAAGATTTTTTTTTTATTTTTGTTAAATACCATGGGAGAGGATTGTAAGAATTAAGACTTTAATTCAGTTGACATTTGCCTCATGAGGGATACATGATTTGTAGAGGGAAAAAAGTACATAATAATAATAATAATAATAATAATAATAATAATAATAATAACCCAAATGTTTTAGTTGGAGTCAGCAGAAATAGGAAAATACTGGACAAATATACATTGGGGAAAATCACACTGTGTACCCCCAACCAAACCTCAAATACCCCACCCAAAAAAAATTACTCAAGATTGACAAATTTCTCAGGCAATTTAGCAACAGGTAGCAAAGTGTTTGTATGCGTGTTTGATTTTCTTTAAAGAATTAAAACAACATCTACAAGACGTGTATTTTTCCATTCAAGTCATTTTAAAAGCAGAGAGAGAAAGACAGCATGATTCTTTGAGTCTTTAAACAAAGGTCCCATAACCTCAGGTACCTACACCCTGGAAATGTAGCATTTCTTGTTCTTCCTCATTAATGAGCCCCAAGCACTCATCTCCCTCCACCTCCGCTCGCCTTAAAGGAGCGCCGTCCATTTCCAGTCTGCGTGCATGCCAACCGCGTGAGACACCGTTAAAAGCCAAGGTCTGCCCAGGATATCGTACATCGCATACTGCAGGTGACGCTATGGCCGACCTGTGACGCGGCAGGTCAACAGAAAGCACATGATTTCGACTCCCCGACCTCCCCCCACCCCAGGCACAGAGAGGCGCCACCCCAAACCCCATTCCACCACACTACAAGATGAACTTCCCCAGGAAGAACCCGATGAAGATGGCGGCGATGACAACGAGCAGGGACGGAAGAGAGCTGGAGCCGTGGTCTCTGCCTGCCAGGATGGCTGAGCTCGGGATGGCACTGTCCGACCTGGGGGCCTTACGCATCCTCAAGCCATCATCCTGGGGAGGGGGGAGGAGAGGCAGGCCAATCAACACAGTGGATTAACACCTCAGCCAAAAACCATTAGCATGTATCTTAACCTGTGCTAATTTATTGTCCCCTAAGGCAGTGTTTGCTAATTTTTGCTCCCTCCCAGGTCCTAGCCAATACCCAACAAGGGTGTGTTTGGGGCTGGGAGGGAGCAAAAATGTGGACTGGGATGGGAAACACTGCCCTAGGACATGGTTATTGCTTAATCAAAAGAAGTGGATAGCATAGAAGACTCCATTTAATTAAGGGAATTATACTTGTTTGGATAGTAACGTTGCGGCTTTGTGCCAAATACTTCAACAAGTCATCCTGTTAAGCAAAGGCAGCTTTAGCTCCTGTAGCTCAACAAGGACAGAACTGCACTAACAATGCAAGGGCTGTGAGCTCACATGAAATTGTTAGCTTGCCCTCTACTGTGGGGCACATACCCACAACGGGCAACTCAGCCACTCTGCTAAAATACAGGAGAACCTGAAGGAAGTCTGTGCCATCCCTGTGCCCAGGAGAGATTCACACAGAGGTGGGATGGAAGTGTGAGGCAATCCTACCCGCCAGTCACTGTGCTACAGAATGAACTCATCCAGTGACGCATAGCCAATCAATGACCGCGCACACGGAAAGTCCCGCCCAAATGAAAGCTGGCTGGCATTCTGAAGCACCTTGAGCTGCCGGTTCTCGTTGTCCAGCCTGACAGCCTCCAACTGGAGCCTCCTGCACTCCTCCACCAGCTTCTTCGTCTCTGTGTCGTCCAGGGCCAGGCTGCCTGGCTTGCCCATGGACTGTGGTAGAAAGGGGCCGTCCACTTTGGACAAGTTCAGCATGGGGGCGGATTTACTGGAGTCTGTGTCGCTCTAAAAACAGTGAAACAGATAAGAACTTTGGCGTCGTGCTACACGTCATCCAGGCAGTCAGCTGACTGAATAGGCCCCTCCCCCTTCAAGAAGATTTCCTTTGAAGAACCTGCCTGACTAGTTCTCCCCGGGGGGGATATCTATAAAAATAATCCAGTGAAGCATCAGTTATATATAAAAATGCCGATAAGTCAGAGTAAGGAAAAGGGCAGTGTTTACATGCACTGGAGTACTACAGTGCCCCCATGTGGTGAAATTTGATTCTACTTTGACTTGAGCATCACACAGTACTTTAACATTTGAATCATGTGGCACGACAATGGCTAGTTTGCAGCTGCAGGTGGACATTCCTGGGAAGAGCAGTAGATACCATTAACCAAAACCAATATATTTACATATTGGTGATATCCAACGAAAACCCACTGTTTGAAGATTGTGACTTTTTGCCATATATGACATATGCACATTGTCCTCTGTCTACTGATGGCGTTTGACAGCTAATTGACCAATGAAATGTTTTATGAAGTTAACTTTTTAACTAGCATTTGTTTGTACTAGTTAATATTTGTATTCATGATGGTTGTTTGTTCAATATTGCTGATTTTAACAATGTAACGTTGACAAGCTACATAATTAACATCATTGTGAATTGTGAGTATTATGCGAGATTATTTTGCATCTTGCCGACTCTGGCATATTTATCTCGCTGACAACAATTCATGTATTCATGTAAACCCATTTAAACATCAAACTGTTCACCGACAGCTGTATAAAGATAGGTTTCCATTAGTGGTGGGAAGGGTGTCATGACATTGTTTTAGGTTTATTTTCTATAGTGGTTTCTGAGAAAAAGTGTTTTTTTTTCCTCACTCCTGAAATAATGGAATTTTGGAGATGTGCGTCTTTCGTTAGACAGCGACGGCATAATAGCGAGACCAAGGGTCACTCACTGATCTTTCATTCTCCGAAGGCAGTTCAAAGACGCATCGCAGCTTGGAGTCCATGAGGTCATCGGGTTTTGCATCCCTCCACTGCGGGGTAGGGGGGGGGGGGATCAGGCATGTTGTTTAGGGCCAACCCAACAATCATCTAAACATACATCCTCTAATAAACCACCAGAGGACGCTCCTTTTAAGACATACACA